TTATATTTGAAAAATCTCTCTTAAAAAATTACAGATTAATATGCATGTAGATTTCTCACCCTTTTCGACAAAAATAAAAGAATTAAAAATTACAGTAGAGTAATATCTATAAATTAGAAATACACAAGTCAGTAAAGTTTCTGTTCAGCCATTTCCTAAGGATTTATTCACTTTACAAGCACAAATTTAATCGCTTTCGATGTTCTTGTAAGAAAGGATATCACGTAGCCAAAGCGAAAGTAGCACTACGATTGACATCAGCGCCACCTTGTCTGTGACGTCACTAACCTCGCTGTATGGACCGAACGGTTATAATGGAGGAATATAAGCGCTTTCGACACTATATTTTCTAGCCACTGTAGTTTCGTTAAGCACGATGGGATTATTTACAATGCATCTGGGTTTGCGACTATAACGATTCGACCAATCAACTTAACTGTAACAAGTTGTAAACAAATCAACGCGAATTAATTTACACGTGCTACAGTTAAAAGTTGTCTTATGGCAATATAGTACGCAGAAACAAAATGAAAACCTCCAATATTTTATTTTAAAAAATAAGCGAAGAACAAAAAGAAATATTAGTATCATATGTAGAAAATAATAAGAAAATGAACAGCGGAAAATTTGACAACCCGCCGATAAACCCATTGCTTAACTTTTGTTTAAAAGTCTCAACACGTGGAGAAAGGTCGAATTTGATGCGATTACAAAACTTTCTCGTGTTAACATCCAGGAAAGTAAAAATAGAACACATTTTTGCTTGCAATAGTTACCAACACGAACTAGACAATTAGTGAGCAGTTACTGAACCTTACAAATAAGGCCCATCTTTACCAATATTTTACATATTTTTTAACGACAAACAGAACATTGATTAAAAAAATAAAGCTTTTAGAATGTTTATTTTTTAAGATTTAACTTTAAAAATTAGACATAAAATACATATTAAAATANTTCTTTTTATTTTTGGAAAAATTTGCTGTATAATTTTATCAATTATGAATTAAAATTTTTTTGTTAGTATTGACTCGACACGAAAAGAAATCTCATCTACTCGTGGTCGAAAAATTTGTTGCCTTCTCAAACAACGTCTTTCGTCTCTTTCTTACTCTTCGATAGCGATAAGAATTATGTCTCCGTCAGCCATTTTCACTTTCGTGTAGCGACCTCATGCTCGACTCAACGTGAGTGCTTCACAGTTTATAAGTATTTTACTTACAAACTGTGAAGCAAATACATTTAGCCATGTACAGTACTATAATGCTCAAAATCTTCATTAAAGAAATATTCGATAGAAGGGATGAAAACTGCATATGGTAAATAGAATTTAATTCTTTATAAAANCGAACTAGACAATTAGTGAGCAGTTACTCAACCTTACAAATAAGGCCCATCTTTACCAATATTTTACATATTTTTTAACGACAAACAGAACATTGATTAAAAAAATAAAGCTTTTAGAATGTTTATTTTTTAAGATTTAACTTTAAAAATTAGACATAAAATACATATTAAAATACATTGTACGGAAAATAAATCTCAATATTTCGTATCTACGATACCAGAGGGCGGCACGGAATAAACTAGAGAAAAATATGTTTTCTAGCTTTCTAGAACAATGCAATATTTTTATTTACATTTAAAGAATAATAAAATATAAAATTTGAAGGGCAGCGGACATCACGAAATGAAAAAAAAGCAGGATTGCGCCAGTGGTCGGGCTCTAGAGTTATTTTTTGAAAGAAAATTCTCATCATGAAGTAACCACTTGGCTATCGCCTGCCGTTTTAAATATCCTTTATAGACCTATATCAACTTGCGTAGCGCTGATTTACAGTTTACTCATTGGAAAAATCTCATTTCTTCCTTGATTTCACTCCCTCTAACTTTTTGTTAAACTTAGAGTTATTCATATATAAGGGACATTAGTGCTGTTAAATTTTCGTGGTTAAAGGTCGACGGGGTGGAAAGATAGAGGAAGGGTCGTTCAGACTTAATAAAAATTTTATTCGTTATTGGCATTTAAGATTATTTTAGAAACCTGCCTTTTACCCATAAAAATAAGGGTTTTTTTCTTTTAATATAAATTGTTTTAATAAAATCTCACAACAGATGACGCCACACATTTATTTAAGCCGGCCATTTAACATAATATCCAAAAATAATTGCTCAAAACTTAAATATATACTTGTAAGGTCACTTTATTCTATTCAACAAAGGAAGAGACAGATGGATCCTTATTGAAGCTTATCCTAGTGAGACCGAGTGATAGTTAATCTATTTTTTAAAATGTGAGAACAAATACGTTAGTTTAAATAAATGTTATTACTGTACTTTATTCACAAGCAAATGATTGTTTAGCCGACAGTCTATTTGCCAGTGGTTCCTAAGCAGTAATTGACTCGACCGATTTCTGATTGAATAGATATTACCACAATGCCAGTACTCATTAGTGATTCGTGATCGTATATTTCAGTGTAATTTTACGGAATTAGATTTACAATAGTGTGAAGTGACGTTGCAAGTAGCTACGATAGAACGTCACTATAATGTAACACCATTCAGTGATTAACTCTGTTTAGGTCTATGTTACTTAGTGATCGATATTTGAAATTATTTCCTTTATTGTGACGGCATTAAAAGTCGTAAAGTTCGCGAAGAACATTTTAGTAGGTTTTAGTATACAGTATTAATAATAATAGTTGTCTTTCTGGATCTCGTTATAATTTAACTAAATAAAGTCTTATAGATACCAGAGCCGTAACTAGGCAGGTGCAACAGGTGCACTCGCACAGGGCCCACTTTGAAGGGGGCCCAAACTGCTGTTCACAAGAAATTATATTTTTAAATTTAAAATTTTTCCACCTCTCTACAGCGCGGTTTGGCGATTACATTTCGCCTTAGATTACACCCTAGATGTCTGCTCACCAGTGTTCCCTGTTCCCAACTGATGCGACTTTTAGAGGGGACGTAGTGAGGTAGCGGAGACCTCAGACAAATCAGCCAAAAGTAGCGACTTTTGAGATTTTTAATTTATTTTTTGAGAAATTTAAATTTATGTTTATAGTTTTTAAATTTACAGATTTTTCTCTACTTTATAGAGCTCTCTGGCAACTACTATTATTATTACGATATACAAAACTGTATTTCTAGATTTTTCTACAGTGTGCGGAGCTTGAAATCCGTTAAGGTAACGTTTTGTAACAAAAATAAATCTGTCCGAGGATTTTTTTAAAATTACTAAATTGAAAACGGTAACTCCCGAATAAAATCTTAGTCTCGAGGTTGTAAAAGGCGTGCAGAAATTCTGACATCATTTTTTGCTTTATAGTGTACGCATATGTGGTGTATTCCTGAACGGCGGATTAAGCAGTAAGCGAACTATGCGGGCGCGTAGGGCCCCGAAGGGGCTCCCGCAGTCTTTAAAATGCTAC